GAATTGTGAGGTCATCAGGGAGGTTTTTTGAGCTCTTGTCTTTTCCTTGATAAAATAATCTTCTAGTCCTACTGGTTTTATTAGTGGCCTTTGATTCAGGGTGTCATTGCTAAGTTTCAGTTTGGACGACCTCTACCACGTGTGAGACTCTTTCAACACCCCCCATCCTATTTCTAGTAGATACTGTTGACCACTGAACAATATGGTTTGAACCACATGGGTCCGTTTATATATGGATTTTTTTACAGTACAGTACTGTACATGTATCTTCCCTTCCTTGTGATTTTCTGAATGACATTTTCTTTTCTCTAGCTGACTTTATCGTAAGAATATGTACATAATACATATACAAAATATGTGTTGACTTGTTTATGCTATTGGTAAGGATTCTGGTTGACAGCAGGCTATTAGTAGTTAAGTTCTGGGGCACTCAAGAGTTACATGCAGATTTTCGACGGTGTTTGGCTCGGTGCCCCTAACCCGCACACTGTTCAAGGATCAGCTGTGCTATGTTCAAGGGAGAATAGTGCTCTTTTGCCAACAGTCTTTTCGTGGCTTCAAGTATAAATAAACTTCGAGCCTCTTGCCATTTCTTTGCTTCCAGGTCCCCTTTGGTGTTGTGTAGTTCAGAATTTAGAGGGAAGAGGAGGCCAGATAATTATTTTTTTTTTAAAGATTTATTTATTTATTTTGAGAGAGGGAGAATGAGAGAGAGAGAGAGCACATGAGAGGGGGGAGGGCCAGAGGGAGAAGCAGGTTCCTCGCTGAGCAGGGAGCCCGATGTGGGGCTCGATCCCGGGACTCCAGGATCATGACCTGAGCCGAAGGCAGTCGCTTAACCGACTGAGCCACCCAGGCGCCCCCAGATAATTATTCTTTTGTATCCATTTCATTTATTGCATAGAGCCATGTGAGCCCTGTTAATGATAAATTTATTTTTTGAAGTGCAACATTTTTTATTTTTATCTCCCAAATAGATCAGATTTTATATTGAGTTGTTTTTTGCTTTCATGTGACCCCTGCATGACTTGCCTGTCCCTCTGAACCATTAATAGAAAACAGGTTCCCCCCCTCACCCTACCCTGGCCTTGCTTGTAGTGTTTAAATCCAGGATCACCCAGGGTCTGGACAAGACAAAGGCAGGGCACTCACCATATGGACGGAAGGAATTTGAGCATTCAGTAAATACCATGCATGAGCATAAGGAAATGCCTACGTAAACACCCACATTCCTAGCAATCACAGTTGTGCTTAATTATAGGGAATTGAAATGAAACTTAATTACATAATTTTGTCAGTAGCTGGGTCATTGCTACGACTCCCTGTAAAACATAAAGGAGTCATCAGTAACCCTCCAGGGACCTTGTTCCTCCTGCCTCTGGGAAGGACTGCAGAGAGGAGCTCGCGGTGCTCCGTTCCCGGGGCTGGCGTGGCCACAAGGCCGAGGGCCAGCTGTCCCGGCGGTATGTCTGAAAAGTCTAGTGGAGAAGACACCCTGCTGCACCATCTCCCTGATCACAGCCACGCGAAGGTGCTTGCACTTTGGAAGGAAAACTTCTAGAGGCCTCTTGTGGTTTGGGGGTGGGAAACGCAGGGCGAGGTGAATCCGAGGTTCCCAGCTGAGTAACCCGAGCTGTTTGCTATCGGAGTAAACACGCAGGCCTTTGCTGTGCCTCCGGGCTTGGAGCTTCAGCTCGGTTGTGCACTGAAGGGGAGAAGAGTGAGTCTCACCGTACTCAAACTTCACAGCACCAAAACAAAGGTGGCCCAAATCCCTCAAGAATATGTTCTGGATGGGGGCGCCTGGGTGGCTCAGTCGGTTAAGCGTCTGCCTTCGGCTCAGGTCATGATCCCGGGGTCCTGGGATTGAGCCCCACATCGGGCTCTCTGCTCCGCGGTGAGCCTGCTTCTCCCTCTCCCTCTGCCCCTCTCTGAGAGCTCGCTCTCTCTCTCAAATAAATAAATTAAAAAAAAAAAAAAAGACTATGTTCAGGAGTAACTCAGGTTTTCCACTCTGCATGGATGGTATCCTTTCAGAATGGACACTTTAGGGATGTCTACCCAGTTCATGAGCCAACAGGCCTCTCTTTTGAGACTATCCTCCTCTCGTGTACAGGGTGGACCCCAGGACCTGTGTCACTTGCCATGTGGCCAGGGACAGGAAGGGACACAAGTGGGCCAGAACCATAAAAATTAAAAACTGGGAGCAGAGAGTCTTCAGTCCCTGAAGCAGGTGTTATGGGGCGGCCATCCTCCAGAACCATGAGGGCTGAGGAGCAGAGAGCAGAAAGCAGCCTAAGAGGTTCCAGACCATTCTAGAGGCTCAACCACATCTTGCTGTTGGGCTCCTCAAGACATTTTCTAGCCTTATGATAAATCCAAACCCCCATTTTTTTTCTTAGTTAAAAATGGAAAACAAAAAATTCTTAAAGGCTTAAAAGTCTTGAAGGCTGTTAGCTTTTCCAGGCTGCTTCATGTCACAGTCCAGCCTTTTCTCCTTTCTGGTCTGGGATATCTCTCCTCCAAGTTACTTCTTTGAGCAAAGAGGCATTTGCTACGTGAGGCCAGTTAAAAATGTGTATGCTCCAAGGAGGAAGGCCCCACTGTTAGCCTTTTCCCTAACAACCTCCAGAGAAGTTAGATCCTCTGTCAGTTTTCAAGGTCAGGACAGAGAGTGCCCTTCTTGGAAGACCTGAATAAATGTGCTTCCCTGGGGCCCAGGAAGCAGGAAATACGGTATCCACCAGAGGGCTGGCCGCAAAGCAGGAGGGAGGCCCTAAATGAGGAGGGATTAACAGAGGTAATCTGCCTAGTGCACATACCACCACCCGGGCCAGCGCTGTATTTTTCTAGTGATGAGACTCCTCTGTCTTCCACCTTTAATAACAGTGACTACAGTGTACTCTGCGGGTGAAGGTCTGTGCCTTATTCAAATCTGTATTCCCAGGACCCACACAGCACGTTGCACTAGACATTTACTGAACGTCTGTTGAATGAGATGTTCCTCATGTTACATATTTCAGGGTCTATTCTATTCAGTTTGCTTAAAATCCATTTCCTGGTGGGCTCAGAAAGCTTTTCGGAAGCACCGATGTGATGATGTGGCATCGTGGTGGGCTTCGTAGTAAGGACTGCTTAGAGTGATCTCTGCCTCCTCCAAGTTTGCGATTTAGGGAGGAGCTTGACATTGCCCTTGAACGAATACAATCCCCAAACATGCCCAATTCGATGACACGTAGGGTTCTAGCCTTCACGTTGTCACAGGAAACGGAGCTTGGGTCAGGCTACCTCCCATGGCTTCTTCATGCTCGCCCATTCCCCAGCACATCTGCGGGTTATAACTTGACGTCTATCTGTGTGACGATCTGTTGTCCCTTTATATCCTGGGCTCCGTGGGGGGAGGAAGGTGTCTGGTTGCGCTCATCACCCAGGCCCCAGGAACTAGCACAGCGTTCATAGGGGGTGCTCAATAAATATTTGCTGCATAAAAGAACAAATTAGTGGCCACAGAGTTGGGAGGCAGGGAGTCAAAGCTGCAACCAGAGAAGGAGGAGACCAGACTCAGGAGACCCCCACCTTGCGCAGGACAAATCAAGAGTCACTGGGAACAGGGCACCATGGCAGGGCTGAGGAGCCGGGAACTTGTTATCTGAGTGTGTATTTTGTGCCAGAGGCTAAACACATGTTGTCAGTTAATGCTCACAGCAGACTTCTTGCAGAAGCAAAAGGCAGTGGCCGGTTTTACAGATAAGAAAACCCAGGGTCAGGTGGATGAAGATTTCTCCCAGCCACACCAGCTAATAAATGGAAGTACTAAGGACTCTCACTCGGGTCTCTCTGGCTGCACGTTTCATGTTCTCTCTCCTTCTCTCTCTGGGGCATCAGGAAGTCTGTGATCATATGGCTTGGAAGAAGAATGGTAGAAACAGACAAAAGAGAGCTGCTTGGGACAAGGGTGATCAAGGTGACCCTGGGAGGCCTAGGATGTCAGGGAAAGGAGTGGGAGTTAAGGACACCTGGAAATCCATGAGGGTGATGGCTATGGGTCCCCAGAGAGGATGAATCTTTTTCCCAAGACTCCCAGGAGCTCCCCCAAAACCTGTGTAGCACAGAGAACCCACCTCGAAGTCCAGTTAGAGAAACCTGCACATCGGAGGACCCACGCTTTCCCCAGCAGAACACCTGATGCTAATTTGCATAAATTAAGGGATACTTTTGGCAGCCTCCCCCAAAAGGGGGAAATAAAAAGAAAGGAAATCTAATCCTCAGAGCCAAAAACCTGGAGTGCCAGAAGCCAGACCAGGCACCCTGTGTCAATCTTCTCCTGATGCTAGAAAGAAGCATGGCCAGGCTGGAATTCAGCTCCTGTGCTCCACCCTCTTGCTGCAGCGCCCCCATCTCCCACCTGAAATTCTTCAGTAGCTCCCCCTGGACAAGAAGATGACTGATAGTCCTTAGGCGTCTGCCTTCGGCTCGGGTCGTGATCCCAGGGTCCTGGGATCGAGCCCCGCATCGGGCTCCCTGCTCGGCAGGAAGCCTGCTTCTCCCTCTCCCACTCCCCCTGCTTGTGTTCCCTCTCTCGCTGTCTCTCTCTGTCAAATAAATAAATAAAATCTTTAAAAAAAAAAAAAAAAAAAGACAAAGATGACTGATAAAGTCCAAACTCCTCAGTCTGACCTACAAGGCAGATACTAATCGGGTTCTGCCTACCTGTTTGGGACCATCCCCTGCCCGGACAGAGCCCCTTCTCTTGCGCCCACCGAGCTCACACGCGCCCAAGGGCGAGCCCACCACGGTCTCTTTATGAGCCAGAGGTAAGTTTCCAGACCCATCGCCAACAGGTGCAGCTTAATTATGGGTATGGACGGTGACACTCCTTGCCTTCATGTCTTATGGAAACTGGTGTGAAGTCTACCCAAGGCACCAGAAAAAATACTAATTATGCGTCCACCCTGTGGACACGATCCTCGGCCTTAATCCAGATTTACATCTGTCCCTAGGGATCAGCACGTGCTCGGCAAGGAGAGGAGTCCGGAGTCACTCCACAAGGCTGCATGGCAGGCTGCCACCACGGGAGGAAGGACAATGGCCCCAGGGGGGGCGTCAGCGCAGGAGAACAGCATGCAGGCCCCCCCGGCCCAGGCCACACCCCGCCCCACCCACAACGACACCAGAGCAGAGGCCAGCGTGGCCACCTCAGCTGGGCCGGCCCCACCGAGGGGTCAGGAGAGGAAGGACACCGTGCTGGACACGCTGCCTCTGAGGGGACAGGACAGGACGGCGGCCTCTGACGGGGCAGAGACACTGTCGCTGAGGAGTCAGGATGCCGGGGCCATCAAAGGCAGGCAGGGCCACAACAAGGAGCCCACAGCCACTAGGCCGGAGCCCCCGAACCCTCAGGGCAAAGCGCAGACCACAGCAAGGACACCCGTGCCGAAAAGTCAGGCCAAGGTGCTGACGAGGCCGGGGGCGGGGTCAACGGGGAGGACAATGAAAGGAGTGACCACAGCGGTCGTCGCCCCCCGGGAGACAGCCCGGGCCACGCCACCCTCCACCCCTTCCCAGAGCCGCACCACACAGAGAAGTCTGCGGGCCACCAACTTCAAGTCTGAGCCCCGGTGGGATTTTGAGGAACAATATAGCTTTGACACGGGAGCCCTAAGATCGGTGAGTCCGGCCACTACCTCTCTGCTCCAAAACCCCCTGCAGACAGCCCCACCGGTCCCCGCCCCCCGCCTCCCTGACCTCCCAGGCTCTGTCCCCAGGCTCTGCCTTGTTCACGCCACCCGGCCCCCGCCGTGCTCTCCCCTACAGCGTGGGAAGGGGTGAGGGAAAGGAGCCCTGCCCTGGAGCCCGCAGAAGGCCTGGAAGGTCCCTGAGCAGGGTGAGCGGTGCTACTTGCTCTGGGGCCGTCCTCTGGCAGGGGGAGGGGGCAAGGGTTGAGAGAGGGCACAGAGGGGCAGGACTAACAGCCGAAGACACCCCAGCCTGAGGCCCGACCCTGACTCCTGGGAATGCCTTGTCTTCCCCGTACACACCATTCCCCAACCTTCCCTCTCTTCCATCCCTGAGAAAAGCAGCCTGGGCCCACAGCCTCAGGAGGGAAACCTTCAAAATTCCTTTGTTTACACACAGACCTGCAGCAGGGAGGGCCCTGGCCAGCGCTCCAGGCTCTCCCTCAGCCCCATCCCCCTCACGCCCACCAGGGTGCATCCCCTAGAGCCCCAAGAAGGGGCCGTTCTCTGGGACCCTCAGGGCTACAGCAGCCAGGACAATGGCGAGGGAGGATCAGCAGGCCCTCCAAACAGGATGGAAGAGGCAGCAGAGGTGGTGCCTTCCAAACGTTGAGGCCCACTTTCTGCCCCTGCCCCCAGCCCAGCCCCTGGCCATGGCCTTCCTGGGCCTCTCCCTGCCTGACCCACCCTCCTGCATGTAGACCTGCCCCAACTCAATGAAGGTCAAGGCCTCCAAGTCACCCTGGCTCCAGAAACTCTTTCTGGCCAACCTCACCCTCTTCCTGGACTCCAGCCGCTTCAGCCAGAGAGAGTGGGAGCGCCTGCAGCACTTCGCACCGCCCTTTGGCTTCATGGAGCTCAACTACTCCTGTGAGTCTTCCCGGGGAGGAGCCTGGGCAGCTGAGCCTCTGGCTCTGGTCGGCCTCTTCCCTGGGGGCCCCCCAGCGTGGGGAAAGAGGATGGGCTGGCCCTCCCTGACCCTTCCAGCGCTCTGAGCGGAGCCCCCCTTGTTCCAGTGGTGCAGAAGGTGGTGACTCGCTTCCCTCCGGTGCCCCAGCAGCAGCTGCTCCTGGCTAGCCTCCCCGCTGGGAGCTCCCACTGCATCACCTGTGCCGTGGTGGGCAACGGGGGCATCCTGAACAACTCCCACATGGGCCAGGAGATAGACGACCACGATTACGTGTTCCGGTAAGCGTCCTGCCCCAAGCGCCCCATCCAGACTGAGAGATCTGGTAGGGCGTTCTATGCCTGGATCCCCGAGGCCGAATGCCCGGGCTCTCCAGAGAATGTCCCCTTATACCTGCTGCCTCCCCATCTCTCTTTTCCTTCCCCGCCCGCCGCCACGCCTTTCCCTCGGGCACTCATGAGTCCTGTCCTGTGTGGTTCTGTCTCACTGCCTAGACTGAGCGGAGCCATCACTAAGGGCTATGAACAGGATGTGGGCACCCGGACGTCCTTCTACGGCTTCACTGCCTTCTCCATAACGCAGTCTCTGCTTGTCTTGGGCGGTCGGGGTTTCCCGCACGTGCCCCTGGGGAAGGTGAGCACAAGGGGAACCGGCCTGGCCACACACAGAATCTGAATGGGGAGCACGAGCTGAGAAAGGGAGCCTGGTGTCCCGTGTCTGGAGTCTGGCTGGCGCGGGCTCTGTTCATCCGAGGGGCGGGAGCGGGGAGGACGGCCAGACAGGCCTGAGGGGAGCAAGTGGGCAGCCTGGCGTCGGAGTCAAACCCCAGCCCCCAGCCCCGGGCCTGAAGGCAGGACTCCTGGAGCCCTCACTGTCCTTGGTCCTCAGGATGTCCGCTACCTGCACTTCCTGGAGGGCACCCGAGACTATGAGTGGCTGGAAGCGCTGCTTCTGAATCAGACCCTGGTGAAAAGTAGCCTTTCCTGGTTCAGGTACCCACTGCCCCCTCCCCGACCCCAGGCCGAGCTGCGTATTGAGCGGCTGTGAAGGGCTGGACAGGTGGGGACAGCCTTGGCAATCGCCTGGAGATGGGCCCCCTGTCCTGGCCCTGGCCCGGACTTGGCCCACAGCGGGGGAGGTGAACGACCCATTGCCGTCCACAGGCGCAGGCCCCAGGAGGCTTTCCGGGAAAGCTTGCAGCTGGACAGGTACCTGTTGCTGCACCCAGACGTAATTCGTTACATGAAGAACAGGTGAGAGCAGACCGACAGGGCGCGTGTGGAAAGCATCGGGTCCCTCTCATCCCTGCAGCCCCCTGACCGCTGGGGGCTGGGCTATTTCCCAGGTTTCTGAGGTCGAAGACCCTGAACTCTCGCCACTGGAGAATCTACCGTCCCACCACGGGGGCCCTCCTGCTGCTCACAGCCCTTCAGCTCTGCGACCAGGTAAGGCTCTGCTGGAGGAGCAGAAGCCCTATCCCAGGACCTGCCCAGCAGGGGACCACAGCCGGGGCGGGGGAGGAGCGTGAGTGTGCGTACACACACATAGGCCAGTGTCCATCAGGGAGCCTGCCCCGGACCCCTAGGGAGGGAACCACGGCGAAGGGTCCCCCCAGTAACACACAGCCCATGAGAACAAGCCTGGGAGGAAGCAACCTCAGGCCTCATTTCTCCTCCAACCTTCACGTAGGTGAGCGCCTACGGCTTCATCACTGAGGGCCACGAGCGCTTTTCTGATCACTACTATGATAAGTCCTGGAAACGAACGGTCTTTTACATCAACCATGACTTCCCGTTAGAGAGAACACTCTGGAAGCGGCTGCATGATGAAGGTATAATCCAGCTGTACCAGCGTCCCATAATTTCCAAACCAAAGATGTGACTGGAGCCTGGGCCGCAGCAGTCTCTTTGTCCGTTTCAAGGCACAGGGCACGGGGGGAGTCTTGAGATTCTACCACCATTTTCCCAGGGCTCAGGCCAGGCTCCCGGCCCCTCCAGACTCCCCAGGGAACACTGGCATCGAGGGGGAGACACTTTCAAGAGGGCAAATGACTGACTGAGGCTTTGGAGACCTTGGAATGTTGCTTCGGGCTCTGTTCAAAGGAGGGAAGACTCCAGTCTTGAGACCAAGAAATTTGAACTGAACGGGGTGATGACCGTTCAATACCGCAGATCTCGGCTGAAAATCACCCTTCACTGTCCAAAAGCTACCTGACACTGGCGGGGAAAAGTCTGAACCTATAGAGACATGTAGATTTGTTTTCGAATTCCAAATCTTGTACTTAGCAGCTGAGAAATCTTGAAGGCCTTACTTAATTTCATAGAGATTGTCTAAAGGAATCTTCCTTCGGGGCTTGCCTGATTCTAGAAGGATCTGCACCCTTGTCTTTGAGCTCTTTGACAACTCTCTGGGTTGCAGAAAACTGATAGTAATAAAACTAATTCTTGCCCATGGAGATGCAAATAAATCTTGTACAGTGAAGATGCAAGTGACGATTTCCCTGGGGGCAGTGACCTGTTTTGTACATACAAGCAAATTCATGTTAGCGGTTCCGATTGCCTGTATGTGCGTCTGTACTCAGGGTTCTCCTTTGAACCAGTTTTTACATCTTACTGGTTCCTTCATTCATTAATACACTAAATAAAATCCTTGACATGCATTCATTTTATATTTGTATGAAAGTCACCATTTCATCCTTGAAAAAACATCTTCTATCATGTTCTGAGGCCACAGTTTTATAATCTGTAGCAGGACTTTTAGGGTACCCATTCTGCAAGGATTTTAAAAATTACTGTCTGTAAAAAGCCTGATGCAACAAGGACCCAGTGTCCTCCCCTTTCATTCTCTATCCTTCCGCCAGCCTGCATTTCCTCAAACCTCACGTTGAGAATCTGGAGCAAGCCAAAGGCTTTTCAGCTCATTTTACCCCCTTGAGCTCTAGCTACGGGATTTGGAATCTGAAGCCCAGAAGAACTCTAAAGATCCTAAACCGAATAAAGGTCCCCGATAAAGGAGATGGAGGGCGTGGGAGGCAAAAAAAAAAAAAAAAAAAGTAAGCTGTCTTTTAGACTTCATACTCAGAGTTCAAAAGCTAATTTAATACAAATAGGACCGGATTTGCTTTGCTCAGAAGGGCTGCAGTACCAGCTCTGGGCAGCAGGTGGCGGCATCTTGCGCACCCCCACCCCCACCTGTTTCTGGAATGCTCAGCTTGTCTTTTTCAGGTTTTCCCAGCTCTTCTTACATGTTTATTCCTCCGTGTGAATTTTAGTATCCGTTTAGGATCTAGAAAAAAATGTTTTGGTATTTTAGTTGGAATTGCATTAGATTTATACATTTACTTGGGAAGAATGGACAGATGTATTACGTTGAGTCCTCTTTTCCAAGATTAAGAGACGGTTCTCCACTTGTCCAAATTTACTTTTGTGTCTTTCAGTATTTCAATATTTGCTCATACAGATTTTGAACGTTCCTTGTTGAATGCACTGCTCAGTATTTTATCTTCTTTGTTACTGTTGTAAGTGGATTTTCTCTACATTATATCATCTCCCTGGTAATTGTGAAGGGTGTGATATACTATCATAGCATCTGCACATAGATTATTTTCTTTTTTTTTTAAGATTTTATTTATTTATTTGACAGAGAGATACATAGCGGGAGATGGAACACAAGCAGGGGGAGTGGGAGAGGGAGAAGCAGGCTTCCCACTGAGCAGGGAGCCCCATGCGGGGATCAATCCCAGGACCCTGGGATCACGACCCAAGCCGAAGGCAGATGCTTAACGACTGAGCCACCCAGGCGCCCCATGCACATAGATTATTTTCTAATTCTTTATGCCTCTGATTATCTCTTTTCTAAATCTTTTGACTGGTATGCCCAGAGTGAGCTAACACAACAGTTTACTCCACTTTGGATCCAGATAAATGAGGCTCAGCCTTTAAGTGTGGGTAGCCTGAATTTAAATTTGAGAAGGTAGATTTGGAGGTCCTCTGCTGATAGTATATGATAGAATATGCTATATGGTGTTGATAGAGTTAGGTAGCAGTGATGTGGGAAACAAAGGCAAAAGAAAAATTAAGTTTCCTTACTACTTACAGTCCTTTGACAAGTCCTTAAAACAGACAGAGTAACATTCTTCTAGGAACTCAGCTGCCTCAATGTTTGCTAAGGGCAAAGGCAATCTTAGCGCAACCCCCAGGATCCTGTAAGTCTACTTTAATATATAAAAATAACTTTGGAAACTTCCTTTATCTCTACCCCACAAGATACATGTTGGCAATCATCCCCAAGCACGTGAACCACCAATAAACATCTCAAGAGTCTCATGACTGAGTTTTTACTTAAAATAGCTAGACCCCTCAGGATCCTGGAAACCTTGTTGTCAAAATACCTGGGAGGGTTATGCTGTGCCTAACCCCCTCCCAACTTGAGAGCATATAACGGGCCACTCCTCATGACTCCAGTGCAGCTCTTTCTGCCCACGGGTCCTGTCCCGCTGCTTTAATAAAACCACCTTTTTGCACAGAGTCGTCTCAAGAATTCTTTATTGGCCATTGGCTTCGAACCCTCACGTCTTTCCTACATCAGCAGGATATAAAATTAACACAGAAATCAACAGCCTCTTGACCAAAAAAATCCCCTCTCTAGGAATTTACCCTGAAGATATATCTCCAACAATACAAAAATAAATATGCGCAAGGTTGTTCCCCGCAGCACTGTTCAAAATTGCAAAATATTGGGAACTGCTGAGGTACTTAAACATAAGAGATATAAACATGAAGAATGGTACATCCACACAATGTGATGTACTGAACATCAACTGAACAGCTGAAATAAAGTGAGGAAGATCTCTGTGAACTGACATGGTGTGGTTTCTAGGGTATATTGTTAATTTTTTTCAAAAAATAAAGACAAGGGGCGCCTGGGTGGTTCAGTCAGTTAAGCATCTGACTCTTGGTTTCGGCTCAGGTTGTGACCTCAGGGTCATGAGATGAGCCCATGTGGGACTCTGCGCTCAAAGTGGAGTCGGCTTGTCCCTATCCCTCTGCTCCTCCCTCTGCTCACTCTCTCAAAAATAAATAAATAAAATCTTTTTAAAAAAGAGAAAAGAGTATAGCATTTATGCCTTTTACATAGGAAAGAAGAAATCAAATATACACATACCTGCTTACTTTTGCAAATACCAAAAATCAGTGAGATTGTTTACCTAAGCTGGGTGCTGGGTAGGAAAAATTTTCCTTTACCCTTCAACGGTTCTTCTGGCTGGTCTAAGAATGAAATTGACATGACACAGATTAATAGGATAAAATCTAATTTAATTTCATATGTACGGGAACCCCACATACATGAGAGGTTCAAAGACAGAAAGGTAAAATGAGGTATGTAGGCCCTTGATGTCATTTTGGAGTGGTGTTGGGGTCAGAGCCGACAGCCAAGAAAGAATTCTTGGGACGTCTTTGGTGCAAAAAGGGGGATTTTATTAAAGTACAGGAACAGGACCCATGGGCAGAAAGAGATGCTGCACTGGGTTGTGAGGAAGGGCTGATTATATACTTGGGAGTTGGGGAAGGTAAAGAAAAAGGGGTGCTTCCAAAAAGACTTTCATATGTTAAAGAAGACTTGCTATTGTCAAGCTAAGGTTGTTTTTCCTCTAGCAAAGCATCAACTTTAAGACAGTTGGGAGTTTCCTAGAGGAATGTTATATATACTCTGCCTGCCTCAAGTATTTGTCAATGGGCTGCAGGTTATAAGGAAAGGAAATTTAATTTTTTCCTTTGCCTTTGTTTCCCACATCACCATCCTGAGCAAAGGAATGGAGTGGGAGCTCAGGCTTCAAAGGGAGGGAAGGCAATTCATGGAGCAATGAGAAAAGCAGGTCTTTCAAACTCGGTGTTTGCCCTGCCATACAGATGGGTCACTCAAATAAAATTTATCTCTGGAAGGAACTCTTATTCTGGGAAAGAACTGCAATGTAGATTCTTCTAGGTAGTTAAAGGAAGGTCAAAACTTTCTCTTGAGCCCACAGGTCTCGATTGACTTCAGTTCTAAGTAGTCCACAACCAAAGGGGCACATTTTGGAAGGGCTTGTTCCGAGCCCCTTCAGGGGTGAATACGAACAGGACAGAAAGGATGAAAGTGTAGAACAGGGTGTGGGGAGGGAGAGACACTTCTCCAACTGTACCTTTTGGCATAGCTTTGCCTTTGTACTGTTAAAAAAAAAAAATCCAACTGAGTACATTTGAAGATCTAACTGGCTTTATTTAACAACCACGAATTGGGAAGCATCTCATCTAACAAACAGAAAGGAGCTCCCAGGAGCTATACAAAATAAAAGGCTTTCATAGGCAGAAGATGGCTGGGGGAGGGGCAGTTTCTAACAAAAGAGTGGACTGTTTCAGGAAAAGTCACCTTCCTTTGTGGGGAAGGATGGGGATCTATCATGCAGATCGCCTCATGAGTGCTGAGCAGGTAATTCCAGATTGATTGGTTAAAGGTCACCATCCGGGAAAGCCTAAAACTGCAATTACATTAGATATTAAGTCTTGGTTTGCTGACATGTGGCGTAGCACAAGGGACTGCATTTTGAGCCTGTTGTCTCTTTTTTCCTTAAACAGAAACATAATCCTCAAAAGATATTAAAATCAGCAAGGATTGGGGGAAAATCCCAACATGGAATACAAAGAAAAGCAATTGAAAAAAAAATGGACAAAGTGATAAACTCTTAAAAAAAAAAAAAAGAAAAGAAAATGGAACCTAATTGTATTAAAATGTTATTTATAACCACGCAGACGCTGTGGGGGGCGCAGGACTATATTTCAACTACATGTCCTCAGACTAAAGACAAAAAGAATTGCAAATAAATATTGAATTCTGACTGGCAGGTTTGTTTTACACGGC